GAGCCATGTTGATCACTTTGTTACCATCCCTTGGGAGATCAACTTACAGAGGTTCTACTATAATTGCTCATTCTGGCTCTATTGGTAGCCACAACTATGTTTAGAGATTATAGTGGCCATAGTGGATCATCCTAGATTGATAGGATTACAGAGTTTGAGGCTCTGCAGTGCTTTTGGTTTTCACCATACTTGTTCTTTCTGCCACATTAGGGCTGGATAGATTACTTCAGTTTATTTGAACAGCCTTTGTAACACCTGATTCCAGACATAAATGAATTTTAGATTCTGATCAATATATTCATCTTAGGTCTTTCTCATGTGATCTGTGGCTTTTTACCAGGAAAAGATACTGTGCTCAGAGAAGGATCATCTCTGGCACAATAAGACAGGAGATTGGATAACACAAGGCTATGACCTAGGATGTAATTAGGGTATTTTTTTTAACATAACAAGTAGAGTTATCATGTCATTATTTTCCTCTTCACCTACCTAAGTTGACATTGGGCTATTTTGGACTTTTCTCTTTAGTTTAATGATCAATTGATCAGCCCCAAGCATTTTGTTCATCTGGCTGGCAAGTCTACTCTAAAGGACTGGAAGAGAGCTATTCGTCTGGGTGGAATCATGCTGAGGTAAGCGCTAACATCAAGCACATATCTTTTAACAAACTTTGGGGCACTGAATCATGGCAGACTCTACTCTTTTCTAAGTTCTGTTGAAAGGATTGGCTTGAGTAATCTGTACCTTTGACCTTCACCAACTTATTCACCAACTTATTCTTAAAATCCCTAGGAGAAAAGAAAGATTCTCAGCACCTAGAGCAAATTTTTCCGAGGTCAGGATGTTGGGTAGGATCCTCTCTGGTCAGAGAAGTTCAGAAATAGATGGTAGTCTTGAAGCTGAGGAAGCATAACAATCTTCCAGATGGAGTGGGTCTGGAAAGGGGCTAGATGCAGTGGCTCACGCCTATAATCCCAGCACTCTGGGAGGCTGAGGTGGGCAGATTGCCTGAGCTCACAAGTTCGAGACTAGCCTGAGCTAAAGCAAGACCCTGTTTCTAAAAATAGCAGGCACCTGTAGTCCCAGCTACTTGGGAGGCTAAGGCAAGAGAATCACTTGAACCCAAGAGTCTGAAGTTGTTGTGAGCTATGACACTCTACCAGGGGGCAACAAAGTGAGACTGTCTCAAAAAAAAAAAATAGTGGAGAAGAGTAGACTGACTGACAAATCCTATGATAACCTGGTAAAGTAGAGGGTGCTGTTGATAAATAAGTTAGACACAGTGAGTATAATCCTTGCATCACACAGAAATAAACTTCAGAAAGTGTTCTATCTCCTACTCCCATCCTTTTTTTGCAGTATGTTTACCATTATAGTTTTTTCTTTGTAAGATTAATATTACTGGCTCGGCGCCTATAGCTCAA